ATATATATATATATATATATATATATATATATATATATATATTTTCTGTGTTTTTTCTCTCGCGCGGTTGACCCGGGCGTCGGACCTGCCCGGGCATCACGCCCGGGTGCCTGGCCGGGCGTGGCGAACCGGGCGTGGAAATCTTCCTAGCTTTATGGGGCTCAAGCTCACGACCTCCTGAATGCCACTTGCGTGCCTAACAAACTGAGCTAGGCCGAATGGACGTCCCGGAGGACCTGTTTTGTTTTTCTAAAGTTTTTTTTTTTTTACTTTTTTCAAGTTTTGGAACTCTCGTTAGTTTTTTTTACCTTTTTTCACCTTCGGCGAACTTGTTTCAGTCCCCTTCTCTGACCCTCGTTACTTCTGGACCCTTTTTTAACCTTTTTCAAGTTTTGTTACTTGTGTGAATTTTTTTTTAACGTTTTTCACCTTCGACGAACTTCAGACGATTGTCATCCTCTGCGACAGAAGGGCGTCATCAATGAGTCTTTTTTTTTTTTTTTTTCCTGCTGGATGCAGATGAGCTGCAATGGCAGGAGTTGGAGCTTCTGAAGGGTTCGGCAGAGGAGCTGCATGCCAGATCACAGCAATTGTTGAAGCAGGCGAATGCCTCCCAAGAATCCCAAAGAGGCACCGGCAACAGTCCCAACGCGAGATACGGTCCTAGTCTCTCTCCGGTTCCATCGTCCCAGATGAGACGGACAAAGATCGCCCTTGAGAACCTCCTTGGAGTCATTGCAGATATGAATAAACAGGTGCGTCCTCACCACTACTTAACCCCTACATCCATCCGCCTACCCTTCTTCACCCTCGCTCGCTTCCCAGAAACTACAAACTTGTACGGATAAAGTTGAATGTACACAAGCTATCTTTCCAGTCTGGTACAAGGCATAATGAGGCTGTGCTGAGTTCTGTGTTCGTGTTCATTGTAAGACGATAGGTACTAAGGAAGGCTATTTTTATTTTTAGAGTGGATAGATGTGTATCATGTGTTGTTCTTTGGAGGGGGGGAAAAAAAAAGATGTGTTCCTCTTCGTACCTTACAAGGAGTCATTGGTGCCTTCTTTTTGATTAGTAATTAGTAATTAGTAATTAGGAATTACTAGTAATTATTAATTAATTACTAATTATTAATTATTAGTAATTATTAATTACTAATTAGTAATTAGTAATTACCCTTCTCTGTAATATTCTGTGTTGTTCCAATTTTAACGGATGTCTGGAAGGCTTTAAGCGGTTCCGACATGTGAAGTTCAAAAAAAAAAAGATAAAAATCCACTGTTATGTTCTGTCTTGTCTATTAACCGCTGGCGACAGCGCTTCTTGGTCGATTCAACTGACTTGCCCGCTTGTCGAGGAGAAGGTCATTTGTTCGATAACCTTGAGCGGAATTTGTGTTCTGTCCTCGTTCGTTGTATAGTCTTTTTTGCATGACCTCCGTAAACTACCGGTACATCCGAGCCTCAGCGAGCTTGAGAATCGAAATCAGCTCATTCGAAAAAGTTTGGAGGCTTCGGGCTACCTGACCAAAATGGCTGGTGGCACCAGTCTAAAGTAGAGAAAAAGCGCGACGCTGGCATTTAGGCAAAAGCTTGGGGCGCAGGGGACATCCGCCTTGGCCAAAAGAGGCCCGAACATCCTGGTGGTTTTGTTTAGGGCCTTGCCGCACCAAATGTGCAAAGTGAGAAATGAATCTTCCACTAGAACATGGAAAGATACACCATCATATTTTTCATCTTTCATGCAGTTGGTGAGTCGTGCGGCCGCGTCCTTAAACCACCACTTCCTGACCATACTGACCGGGTTTTTAAGGGGGGGAGGAGGTTACGGGGGTAGGGGGAGGTGCAGTGACTGGCCATTGCTCGGCGCTAGCACTGCCTATTTCCCCCACCGGCAATGCCTGCCACCCCTCGTCACTGGAACCGGCAGGCGCAGGCGGGTCCAGTCCCGCAATTTTCAAGAACAAACTTTGGCAATTGTACGCGCTCAGAAGAATTTACAAATAAAATGGAGATCTGGCAGATTAGATCTTTGATCTTCCCAGGAAAAATACCAGAAAAAAAATGAAGAAAAAAAAAATAGACCATGCGATAAATGCTGCGCCGATTCGTTGCATTTTCCATTTTTGCCACTCTACCATGCGTGGGCCTACGGAAAAAGTACCCCAACTTCCATGATTTTTTTGCGCTCAGACGAATACCTAAAAAACTCTGAAAATTGGAGGGGCTGTAATCTTTCCAAGAAAATTATGATTATTTTTTAAAAACTAGACAGTGAAATGAATGCCGCGCCGTCTCATTTTTCATTTTCGCCACTCTACAACGTGTGGGCGAACGGGAAAAGTACCCCAACTTCCACGATTTTTCATGCTCAAAAGAATACATCAAGAAATCTGAAAATTGGAGAGTTCGTAGATTTCGTCGCGGTCTTCCCAGGAAAAATCCCTATACTCTTAAAGACTACGAAGGGCTCAGCGTGACGCCTGGTGCTGGGCCCAGCAGAAATCGAGGAGCACAGAAATCGAGGAGAATGGCGAGACGCACTGGGCCGAACGGGACAGGCCACGGCCGAAAAGTGACGGCGAACGGTGCCAAACGTGGCGCGCGGACCCGCTTGGACCCTGCGGCGAACTGGGTGCATTCAGGCTGCGGCACCAATAGGACGTGGCTGCGGGAAAAAGCACCGGGGTGCGCATTCGCGCAGGGGCGGGCCCGCGTTGGCCATCGCGTGCAGCGGGGCGGAGCGCGATCGCAGTGCAGCGGGGCTGGCCGAAAAGCGACAGGCCACGGTGGCAACCGTGTCGCTTGGACCCGCTTGGACGCCGCGGCGGACCCGGTGCATTCAGCCTTGCACAGGGGCGCAACGGGGTGAAGCGTGGTCGCAGTGCGGCGGGGCTGGCGTTGGTCTCCTAATCGTGCGCGCGGGGGCAAGGCGGGGCGTTGCAGATGGTCGGGCAGTGAAGGCGAGGGATGCGTCGATATTGACGGCGGTCTTATCTCACCATCGGTTCGTTGCGGCAGCCATGGAGGCGGAGGGACGGTGCCAGAGACAGCAGCGGGGCAAGTGCATGGAGGGGGAGCGACGGTGCCAGAGACAGCAGTGAGGAGGGGAGCACGCGGTCGCAGGGGCGGGACTCTGTCGGCCATCGCGCGCAGCAGGGTGTGTCGCGCATGGTCGGGGACCCAAGGGGGGGGATATGTCGATGTCGACGACGGGCTTATCTCGCCGTCGATTCGTTGCAGCAATCATGAAGGGCCGAGCGACGGCGCCAGAAACAGCAGCGGGGCAAGTCTTAAGGATGTGCAACGCCTATCCCACCACGGGTGTGTTGTGTGGCAAAGACGTTCTCGCGCGGGGGGCGGTGTGCCGCTATTTAAGCGCGCTCGGGAAACGATCCTGTGTGTGTTTGTGTGTGTGCAAGAAGTGTCCTGCAAGTCGCGGCGAACAGAGAGAGAGGGAGAGAAAGAGAGCAAAGGTGTGCCCGTTGTCTAGACAGAGAGAGAGAGAGAGAGAGAGAGAGAGAGAGAGAGAGAGAGAGAGAGAGAGAGAGAGAGAGAGAGAG